TTTCCCCGCAAGGCCGCATTGCGTGGGGGGGGGGGTCCAAAGGAAAGCCCATGTGGGCGGACTAGAGATCCAGAGGTGCAGCCCTGGGCAGACGCTCCCACAATGTTTGACTGCGGCAGACGAGGTTGTTCTGCCATGCTGAAGCCACGACTGGAGTGGCTCCCCCCCCTCCCCCCTGAACAGTCTCCTGTCGTCCCCCCCCCCTGCACTAGTTGCTCAGGGGCCGCATAAAAACACTGGATGGGCCAGTTACGGCCCCCAGGCCTTATGTTTGCCACCCCTGGTTTAGAGCTTTAAAGGTTAAATCCAGCACTTCAAATCTGACCCGGAAACCAATCGGAAGCCAGTGCAGGTACGTAAGAACAGGCTGAATATGTGCAGACCACGATGGATTGGTCAACATCCTGGCAGCTGCATTCTGGATAGCCTGAAGTTTCCAAAGCATCTTCAAGCTTAGCCCTGAACAGAGCAAACAGCTATAGTCCAATCTGGAGGTGACCACTGCACGAATCACCGCGGCCAGGTCCGACCAGCACAAACAGGGACAGCTGACAAGCCTGGCAGAGATAGAAAAATGCTAATTTTGCCACTGGGGACAATTGTTTGTCCCAGGTAAGCAAAGCGTACAGCCAGACCCAGACTTCTAGTTTGTAGGAGTTCATAACCGCAGATGCCGGTAGGGGCAACAACTGGAGGAGGCCGTTGGTTTTCAGCCCTGCTTGTGAGCACCCAAAGGCACTGAAGGGGCCATCCTTATCAGCTTCGAAGCTTAGTCTGTCAAAGACAGGTCCCGTATGAGAACTCTTCTAAGGAAATAAGGGCTAGTCCCTATATTAAATGTAGCAACACTTGAGAAGAAAAGTCTTTAGGAACTAGGAAGTAACACTACACCAGAAGGAAAACTCTTATACAATCTAACTTGCTTCTGAGGAAGTTAAGAGACGAAACCAAGCACAAGCTGGCTGCTTTGTCAAGCTTTACATTCCTTTGCCTGTTAACAGCACATGTTGAAAGTCTACTAGTACTTTTTGGCTGTTGGCAACAATTGGTATTCTGTGGTATAACTGTATGTTAGTATATTAGTAATTGTATAACATTAGGATGTTGTATGGTTAGGTTGTATACCTTGTTAATATTTTGTATACTTAGATACTATTATCAAGTATAAAAGTGATTGTATTAGCATATTTAATGTTTAAGAGTGTATTACTGGACTGATTTTGGCCCCAGTTTTGTTGTTTTTGGTATCTTGATACTGGGAGGGTTGTTATGGGGGGGCCATCCCCAAAGTCAGAATTGTTGGATTTATTCAGTAAGCTTTGTTTTCTCTAGCCAGAGAAAGTTTTGTGTTCTGGTTTCTGTCTCCCCTTTTCTTCCTCTCCCCCTTCAAGTTTTAGGTAAAGGTTTCCCTTGCTCGAAAGCCAGTCGAGTCCGACTCTAGGGTTGCGGTGCTCATCTCCGTTTAAAAGCCGAAGAGCCAGCGCTGTCCGAAGACATTTCTGTGGTCATGTGGCCGGCATGACTAAACGCCAAGGCGCACGGAACACTGTTCCCTTCCCACCGAAGTGGTACCTATTTATCTACTTGCAATTTCTTGCTTTCAAACTGCTAGGCTGGCAGGAGCTGGAACTAGAGAGGGGAGCTCACTCCATCATGCTGCACACTCGGGTCTCGAACTGCTGAACTACCGACCTTCCACAGCCTCCAGTTCAGCGTCTTAACCCCTTGAGCCACCGCAGCTTCAAGTTTTAGCAATACAATTATTCCAAGAAGCTCCTCCGAGGAATACTGTGAAACCCTGAAGGGGGATGGAGGGAGGGAGGGAGGGAGGGAGGGGGGGGGAGATTGAGTGCCTTCCTCCCCACCAATGCCGCTATGCTCACCTGGATGACCACAAAGCGCTGCGGGTCCCTGGCCATCCGCGAGAACTCTGTGACCAGCTCCCGGAACTTGGGCCGGCATTCTGAGTCAATCATCCAACCTGTGGGGCAAAGAAAACACAAGCGTGATTCAAGTCCTCTTGTACACAAAGCAAAATTAGTCCCCTACTAGACAACAGAGCGCCGGGCTCAAAAATAAATCACGAATGGGGGTATCAGCTGGCTCGTGCGCCCCATTAGAGAATTCAGACATTCCAAAGTATTTGAAAGAATCTTGGCTATTTCAAAATATCGTACGTAGGCATTAGACCTGCACTGTACTAAATGATTCACAAAGCTACTTAGAAAAATCACTAGGGACTGTGGTCTGTACTACTGTGTACAGCTTGTTGAAACCGGGACGCTACTATGGAATTTTGCATCATTTGATGCGTCATGTTTACAGAATCATAGAGTTGGAAGGGATCTTTAGGGTCATCTAGTCCAACCCCCTGCATGATGCAGGGATTTCACAGCAATCTCTCCACCACACCCCCAGGGACCCATTTCATGTCCAAAAGATTTTAACTGGACATGTCAAGTCCTAAAGGTAAGATCTTGGACTGTACAGGCCACTGACCTCTTTAGAGAAGACTTTAGCTGTACAGGAAGAGGACTTGGCTGTTCAAAATAATGAATTTTATTTAGGAGTCCTGTGTGGATAAGTTTGAATATCAAACCACTAAAGAAGATCTTGGACTGTACAGGAAGAGAGTTTGGCTGTATTCTAATGCTAAGCTGTTTAAGGAGTCCTCTGTGGACCATACTGAAATATGTATGAATGCATTTGATGTTAGTTGTTTATATTATAAATTTTGAATTAAATTATCTTTAGGACTTGACATGTCCAGTTAGATTTTTTTTACACAGTGTAACAGCCTTGGTGCTGTGATTTTGTGTCAAACCTGCTTTCACTGTGTTACCATTATATATTTACCATGCCCAGAAGACGGCAAAAGTATCCTCCAGGATCCCTGGCCAAAGTGGCCTGAAGAAAATTGCTTCCAATGGTCCCTCTAAGCTGTGGAGTCTTGTGAGCAAAAATTCTAATTTGTGAGTTACTGGCATTAAAGTTGTGAGCAAACAATGTGATACTACATAAATTAGCTTGCTCTGGAGCCGTCCTTCCTGAGCTGAGACAAAAATGTGTGAGCCGGAGGCTAAAAACTGTGAGCTAGCTCACATTGACTCAGTTTAGAGGGAACACTGTAATCCTGACCCCAAAGTGGCAACCGGCATTTCCCTGGGCGTGTAAGAAAGGGCCATGAGAACTAAGCACTGATGCAACCCTTCCTGCCCTCCCTCTCATGATCTGCCTAAGTTATGCTTTGCTTCAGTTGTTTTTAGACTTCTGGTTGAGTCTACAATCCTATGGCATCGTTTATTGAATGTCCCATTGGTCGATTGTCTTGACTCACTCTGTGTAATCTGCCTGGAGTCCTCGTGAGAAAGGCAGGCTATACATAATGTAAATAAATACTTAAATTCTGTTAAGGAAGTGGTTCTTTATCAACTTGCCCTAAGATCATATGACCTTAGTTCTGGAACAGGGACTGGGGACTGCTGTACAACACATTTTAGTTCCTGTTGATATGCAAGATGTTTTAAGCCATACCCTTTCCCATTAAGTCTTTATCTGCAGACCCGAAAATATTTCGTGGTGTCAGAAGCGGAGAAAAATCTAAACAAATCTAACCTGCTTTTCCGCCCATAGCTCCCACCCCCCAACACCACTTCATCAAATGGTTTGGTTTCAGGTCTGAATGTGGTTCCACGTTATCTTAGGCAAAAAGGTTTGAACTATATGCTCTTTGGGCCCATCGCGGTCTTTTGGATTCCATCACAGGATGGTCATTGGTTGATCGATTGCATTGTTTATTGAATATCCCATTGGTTGATTGTCTTGACTTACTCAGTGTAATCTGCCTTGTGTCCAGTGAAAAAGGCAAACTATAAATAACATGAATAAGCAGGGGTCATTTCCTGCGGGAGCGCACAGGAGCGGAGCTCCAGCAGTAAGGAGCCCAGGGGGCAGGCAAATGCAACAATCCCCGTCCCCTGTTCCCAGCAGCCCTCAGTTGGGCCACGAGGAGCAAGAAGCAGACAGGTAAGTTGCAGAGGCCTGCCCCCCCAGCCTGCCTTCAGGTACAAGCTCTCCCTCCTCTGTGAGGGCAGATCTGCACACCCCCCCCCCAATAGCTAGCAATCCAAAACAGTCCAGTGGCGCATGAGTGGTGGTTGTGGCCTTCTGACACACTTCCAGTGATGTCAGGGGGTGTGGCATATGCAAATGAGTTATGCTAATGAGTTATGCTAATGAGCTCCTGCACCTCTTTTTCTACGAAATGACCCCTGTGAATAAGTAAATAAAATACTTGCTTCTCTACCACAGAATGTACCTATATACTCCATAAGCTCCTGTACTGCCTAACCATGAGATCGCTGTTCTGTTCTCTGCAGATGCTCCAATGTTATTATCCAGATCAGATTACTGAACACATTTATTAAATACTGTTCCCAGGAAAGGGGAGGGAGGAGGATTTATACCCCGCCCTTCCCTACCCAAAGGAGTGTCAGAGCAGCGACTATGATTTTATTTTACTTCCTTCTCCTACACACCTCTTGTCTCCCCAACGGGGACCGAAAGCAGCCCATATCATTCCCTCTTTCCCCGTTTTACCCTCACCACAACCCTATGAGGTAATTAGGCTGAGAGCGTGTGACTGGCTCAAGGTCACCCAGCGAGCTTCCATGGCACGAGTGGGGATCAGAACCTGGATTTCTCCGATCCAAGTCCGACACCTTAACTACGACACCACGCTGACTCTCTCGGTACAGTCGAGGAACTCTAGGTGAGCGGTGCTGATAAGCCTACAGGCGGCCTCTTCTGGATTTTCCTTTCAACTCTATGATTCCGACTCTATGATTCTACAGCAGTTACAGAGAGAACCGAGGCCAGAGCCGTCATAACCACTATTCTGCATGAAAGAATCACCCGCTCTCCCCTGGTCCCATACATTTCACCATGATCATGTAGACTTCAATGGTGCAGATGGGGGGCTGGGGCAACCGCTCCCCTTTCTCCAGTAGATCGGGGATCTCTCGGGCCGGGATGCCATCGTACGGTTTGGCGCCAAACGTCATCAGCTCCCACACGGTGACGCCTGGAGAGAGAGAGAGGAAAGGAGAGGAGGTTCCCGCCAAGAGTCAGGACCATCGGGCGTCCCCAGTGGGAGAGGGTGGAGAGGGCAACGCCTTGAGGCCTTCACATACCGTAGCTCCACACGTCACTCTGGTGGGTGAATCGTCTGCGCAAGATGGACTCCAGCGCCATCCATTTGATAGGCACCTGGGCAAGACCGAAGGACAACACAGTGATCACCACCAGAACGAATTTCAAGTCCAGTGGCACCGCGATAAGCAGGCGGAAGAAGAAGAAGAAGAAGAGATTGGGTTTATACCCCACCCTTCACTACCCAAAGGAGTCTCAGAGCAGCTTACAAACTCCTTTCCCTTCCCCTCCCCACAACAGACACCCTATGGGGCAGGTGGGGCTGAGAGAGAGCTCTGACAGAAACGGCTCTTTCTCAAGAACAGCTCTGACAGAACTATGGCTTGCCCAAGGCCATCCAGCAGCTGCAAGTGGGGAATCAAACCCGGTTCTCCCAGATTAGAGTCCGCGCACTTAACCACTCCACCAAAGGGCAACTAAAGTGATTAAGGGGGATGGAAGAAGAGAAGAGGAGATGGGATTTATACCCTTCACTACCCAAGGGAGTCTCAGAGTGGCTTGCAACCTCCTTTCCCTTCCCCTCCCCACCACAGACACCCTGTGAGGTAGGCGGGGCTGAGAGAGCTCTGACAGAAACGGCTCTTTTTCAAGGACAGCTCTTATCACAACCATGGCTTGCCCAAGGTCATCCAGCAGGTGCAAGTGGAGGAGTGGGGGAATCAAACCCGGTTCTCCCAGATTAGAGTCCACGCACTTAACCAATACACCAAACCCTTGCTCATCTACTGCTACAGACAGACAGACTAGAAGAAGAAGAAGAGATTGGATTTATACCCCGCCCTTCACTACCCAAGGAAGTCTCAGAGGGGCTTACAAACTCCTTTCCCTTCCCCTCCCCACAACAGACACCCTGTGAGGTGGGTGGGGCTGAGACAACTGACACAAACTGCTCTTTTTCAAGGACAGCTGTGCTAGAGCTTGTGACTGACCCAAGGTCACATCAGCAGGTGCAAGTGGAGGAGTGGGGAATCAAACCCGGTTCTCCCAGATTAGAGTCCGCACACTTAACCACGACACCAAACTGGAACCAGCTTCCTATCTCCCCACTCCCATGTATGGACGCCTTTCTCTGTGTAGCAACACTGAACTTCCTGTTGGTCTCCCATCCAAATACTAACCAGGACAGACCCTGCTTAGCATCTGAGATCTGATGAGATTTGGGCAGCCTGAGCCATTTGTCCTAACAATGTTCTAATAAGAAAGCCCCAAGAATGAGGAGGAGGAGATTGGATTTATACTCCGCCCTTCACTACCCAAAGGTGTCTCAGAGCGGCTTACAAACTCCTTTCCCTTCCCCTCCCCACCACAGACCTCACCACTGTGAGGTAGGTGGGGCTGAGAGAGCTCTTGACAGAAATGGCTCTTTCTCAAGGACAGCTCTTATCAGAACTACGGCTTGCCCAAGATCATCCAGTCAGGTGCAAGTGGAGGAGTGGGGAATCAAACCCGGTTCTCCCAGATTAGAGTACGCGCACTTAACCACTACACCAAACTGGCTCTGAAGAAGAAGCGCCCTTCACTCGGAGTCTCAGAGCAGCTTACAAACTCCTTTCCCTTCCCCTCCCCACAACAGACACCCTATGGGGCAGGTGGGGCTGAGAGAGAGCTCTGAAAGAAACGGCTCTTTCTCAAGAACAGCTCTGCCTGAATTATGGCTTGCCCAAGGTCACACCAGCAGGTGCAAGTGGAGGAGTGGGGAATCAGACCCGGTTCTCCCAGATTAGAGTCCGCGCACTTAACCACTACGCCAAACACAGTACTGGCAGTGATTCCATGAAGGGTCTCAGGCAGAAGTCTTTCATGTCGCCTACCGCCAGATCTTTTAACTGGAGATGCCGGGGATTGAACCTGAGCTGTTCTGCAAGCCAAGCAGATGCTCTACCGCTGAGCCACAGCCCCTCCCTGTGTTCGACCGGTCCCCTGGCTTGGCATCACCGTACCATCTGGGGCTTATCTCTTCCACCCTTTGCCCTCCTCACCTTCCCTCCGTCGGCATGATACTCCGTCTCGTCTATGTCCAGGAGCCGGGCCAAGCCAAAGTCTGTGATCTTGACGTGATTGGGGCTTTTCACCAGGACGTTCCGAGCGGCCAAGTCCCGATGGACCAGGCGGACGTCCTCCAGGTAGCTCATTCCCTAGGCAGAGAAGGGGAAATGCAAGCGTGAGGGGAAATCTTTTTCCCATGCTCTTGAACAGGCACAGTAACGCAGGTGTTGGATGGATGCCTACCTCCAGGGCTCTTCTTGTAGCAGGAACTCCGTTGCATATTAGGCGACACTCCCCCTAATGTAGCCAATCCTCCGAGAGCTTACAGAGCTCTTCTTACAGGTGCTACTGTAAGCTCTTGGAGGACTGGCTACATTAGGGGGTGTGTTGCCTAATATGCAAAGGCGTTCCTGCTACAAAAAGAGACCTGCCTACCTCCATCCCCCAGTAGCAGAACTGCATTGGGTTTGTGTTAATTAAAATTAATTTCACCTCTTGTGGACTCGGAACAAGCTTGCTCCACTTACTTTGAAAGATGAGTCTCCAGAGACAGATAAAAGGGGAGGCGGGAGCATTTACGAGGCTCGCTCACAGATCTGGCACAACTGGTCTATTATTTCTTAAACAGCTTACACACAAAGATACCAGAATGTAGCCAACCCCCTTTATACTGAGTCAGTCCTTGGGTCCATCTAGCCATGTACTATCCGCTCTGATTGGCTGTGACCAGCATTCCCTCTAAGCTGAGTTAGTGTGAGCTAGCTCACAGTTCTTTAGCCTCCGGCTCACACATTTTTTGTCTTAGCTCAGGAAGGAGGGCTCCAGAGCAAGCTAATTGATGCAGCAGCCAAATCGCTCGCTCACAACTTTAATGCCGGTAGCTCACAAAGTAGAATGTTTGCTCACAAGACTCCACAGCTTAGAGCAGAGGTGTCAAACATGCAGCCCGGGGACCGGATGAGGCCCCCGGAGGGGGTCCATCAGGCCCGCAGTGGAACCGGCCATCTCCTGCTTCCAGTTCTGCTGCTGCTGCTGCATCATCGCTTGCTTTGCCAGACTCTCTTAATCACTCATCCATTTTATGTTTTAACCTGGGTCCTGGACTCAGAACTCAGAGCATGAGATTTCTGTGTTGAATGTCAATAAAAGTAGGTTTGCAGCTCACAGAGGTAATGTTTTAAGCATGTTTTTTTATTTTAAGTAAAAAAAATATATCTTTGTGTTTGTGTCCTTAATAAAGTTTATATCTCCGCATGTTTTTTATTTTAAGTAAAAAAATATATCTTTGTGTTTGTGTCCTTAATAAAATTTATATCTCCGCTACCTGGCATTACATTTTATGACACACAACAAGGTCTCATTTATGTCAGATCCGGCTCTCATAACAAATGAGTTCGACACCCCTGGCTTAGAGGGAGCATTGTGACCCCTCCCCAGGGTCCTGAGCAGAGGTCTTCTCCAGCCCCCAGCTACCTAAGAGTCCTCCTCAGACTGAGACATTCTGCAAACCAAGTACATGATCCACCCCCTGGATAGAACTACCCAAAAAATGCTGAAGCAGTTCATAATTTTACAAATTTCAGTGCTCAGTGAGGGGTTTACAAAGCCTGTGAGGCAATAGGTTGTAGGGGCAGAGGCAAAGATCCGTACAGGGGCATTGAGCCCCTGAACACCAGAATTCTCATTTGTGTTTTTATCATACTCGGAGGGGGCTAGAAACTTGCTGGGTTTTTTTAAAGGAGAAAACGAGAAAACAGACAGGGAATTTCAGTCTGTTGAATTCCCAGATATGCTGTTCTGTGCTGACTTTATTTTTCTGACAAGGACAGCCGATGCATGGTTTACATTTAATAGCTGCAAAGGAAGATTTTCTGCACCTTGTATTGCTTTTGCTCCCATTATAGCACTGCAGCTTTAGGACAAACTTTGCTTGTCGAAGTAGAAAAGAGCAAGAGTCCAGTAGCCCCTTAAAGACTCACAAAATTTGTGGCAGGGGAGGAGCTTTCGAGAGTCACCGCTCACTTCTTCAGATATCTGAAGAAATGAGCAGTGACTCACAAAACAGGAGGAGGAGAGGAGATTGGACTACCCAAGGGAGTCTCAGAGCGGCTTACAAACTCTTTTCCCTTCCCCTCCCCACAACAGACACCCTGTGAGGGAGGCGGGGCTGAGAGAGCTCTTGACAGAAACGGCTCTTTTTCAAGGACAGCTCTTATCAGAACTATGGCTTGCCCAAGGTCACACCAGCAGGTGCAAGTGGAAGAGTGGGGAATCAAACCTGGTTCTCCCAGATTAGAGTCCGCGCACTTAACCACTAC